AATTAGGGACTGCTAGCGCAGATAGCCCTCGTGTAGCTTTACGCGAAATTTAAAAACAAACAAACAAACTTAAGCTTCCTATTCAATATTTGTTATTTTTTATTTTTACCACGTATTTCTTTTACAATAACGATAATGATTATATTTTTCTATTTAAGTGTGAAGAAAACTGCGAAAAACACAAGCAGAAATTACGTTTTGCTGAAATGTTTTGTTTCTCTCTTATAGTAATGTATCAGAAATTGAATGTTTGGCTTATGACCCTCAGGTGAGATTTGTTGTTTGGATAACAGAACATTTATATCATCTGGTTGATGTTTTAAACGTCCGGTTGATGTGTAGATCAACATTTTCCTAATTAAATATGGAAATAAATTACAAAAGAAAGATCAACGAGATACAATGAAAGACAAACTGGCCATAATAACTGAAGAATACCCTAAAGTGAAAAGGTTTTTTCTAGCGTTTTTCCCCCTTTTATTTCTCTCTTTATCACTTTCTCTATTTCTATATATATTTATGTATGTGTATGTGTCTGTTGCTATGAGTAAACTTGCAATCAACTAAATCATTGCTAGATGTGGCTAATCGCATATATATGAATCAATAGCACGGAAAAAGTAAAAGTTACATCAGAAATAGCGAATGTTAAAAATCTGTACAATAAGTGTAAGAATCAAATGGGTTTTATCTTCTACCAGAAGGACAAGACCATAAAGTATACATTTGATGCTTTTATATCAACAATATAAAGTGAACACATAGAAAATCCTTGATCCTAAACCTAAGTCTCTTTCTTCTGTATCTTATCCAGGTTCTTTACGTGTTAGGAACTAAAATGTCACCGTCACTCTTCTGGTTCTTTTTCCGTAATAGACTTTCATACTTACGTGCTTCTTAGAAAATATTGTTTGAAACTACGTTAAGGCAATAAGGCCCAATTATTTTTCCCTTGTATGAAGCCCTTGTTGTTTCCTATTGTATATATGTCCCAAAGAAAAACAGTTGTTAAGAAAAATATATATTACAAAGGATTACACAAATAGCTGACAAAAAGAATATTTATTTTTAATATTTGAATCGAAATAACCTTTTTTATCAAAATGGGCCCTAGATCACTAACAAACAATAAAAAATATTCAAGTTAAGAAAGAAAAGAGAATATATAAATAGATATTAAAACATGTATCTTTTATTCTAACAGTTGATAAAAGTTTATCTAAAGTTGTGTATTTTCGAACAATATATTTGGCACATTAAAATGGTTTTATTATAGCTGTCTTGCACCAAGCATTTAAAATTACATTTTGCTGGTAATCCTAAGTATAATTTAGCAGAACATCCTCGTTTTTTAATAGTTATCAATACATTTGTTTGGTGTAAAATAAGCAATTTGTAATTAGACCTACCTAAAACTTTCAGTCACGAGCTTTGGTATATTTTACATTAGAAATAAAAATAATATAAAAATATTTCATTTTAACTAATTAGACTAATATTGCTAAATAACCTATCATCATCAAGTCAGTCAAGACTAATACGATTGTATTTATCCAAACTCTGCTAAATAACCTATCATCAGCAAATCAGTCAAGACTAATACGATTGTATTTATCTTTGATATACGGAAACATCTGATAGCTGAGTTCTTGCTGAGATCTTAAAATATAACGTTGATAAACGGAGACATCGGCACATGTAGATCTTGAAAGTTGAGTTGTTCAAAACTTGAAAATAGTGTTGATAACTGGACCAATTGTTGGTTGAGATAACTGGACTTTCAAGATCTACGTATCTACATGAGCCGATGTTTTCGTTTATCAGCGTAATATTTTAAGATCTGTGCAAGAACTCAGCTAACAGATGTTTCCGTATATCAAAGCTATCTTCAAGTTTTGTACAACGAAAACCGTTTCAAGATTGTATTTATCCAAACTCTGCTAAATAACCTATCATCATCAAGTCAGTCAAGACTAATACGATTGTATTTATCCAAACTCTGCTAAATAACCTATCATCAGCAAGTCAGCCAAGACTAATACGATTGTATTTATCCAAACACTGCTAAATGATCTATCATCATCAAATGTCATCTCGATAAGAATTATTTTTGATATCCTGTTTCCCTCTGAAGAAGAAAGGTCCACCTTTAGAAAGAGCTCGGGTTATAGGGTTTTTGTTCGTTCTGATATCCTGTGATGTTGATTCAAACCTTGAAAGTTGAAATCAAATGTATTAATGGATGAAAAATATATTGATACGAATTATTTATAGATGTATGTCAATTACTGAAACAACTTAGCGCCCATTTTAAAGTAATTGAAACCATTTCTTACCCTGTTTTGGGATATACTACTTCTCAGCAATCTGGAGAAGAGATTTGGGTTATGAAATACATACAAACTAGTTTAACATTTACTTAAAAGCAGTTTTATATTCTATCATATTGATTTACACACAAGTAAATTACTTCTAACCTGGTTAATGCGTACATTATTTGTTCATTTTTTACATTGAGTTAGTTTAAAATAATGATTATATTTAAGAGTTAATTTATGTTCTCAGTTAAGTAAAATAAGTTACATGCATAATTTTCTATTCTTATTTAATTATTTTTACTGGCGTTTTGTATTAGTTTATCAAGTGAACCATGATTCAAAATATTAGTATAGTCCTAAATTAAAAATAGGTTACAGAAGCTAGGCTATCACGTCCAGTAATATTTGATGTAAGCAACAAATACCATATCTGGTCATGTTACATCAAAGTAAAATATTACGAAGTTGAAATTATAACTAACTTTATTTTTTCGTATAAGATATTCGAACGGAGTTTTTTGTGTTTTTTTTTCATATATGATAACCACTTGTAAAAGTTTATTTTATTCATATTTATCAAACATGTATCTTACTCAACCAGAGGTGTTTATGTTTTGTTTCCGAAAGCTGGACATGGTCTCGTGTCAGTCAATGGTTAGTGTGCTGGGCTGCGTATTAAAATGTACAAAGTTCGAGCAGCAACACATCTCTGAACACGTGCATCACTTCCAGCCTTGTGTGTGGTGGTGATGGTGGGGGAGGGGTGACTATATAATTATGACAGCTGTTCGGTTAAGACTAACAGCATAGGTGACGAATGTTGATAACTGGTTGCCATTCCTCCAGTAAGAAGTTCCAAGTTCGGGATGGATGTACTTAACCTTAGTAGTCTCTGACCAGGCTGTTTAGCCTATGTATCAATATTTTTACTTAAATCAAAAGTCTCAGTATCGGTGCACGTTATATTTAGTCCCAGTTAACTTACCAGCACGTAATTTATTCATGATTAATTTTCTCACTATTTAGATACATAACATGTAGTAATCTAAAAATATCGAAGACATTATTTTACAAGTCATATTTCCATTCTTTTAGGATTGGGTGGACGTCAATTTGAGATGGAACGTGTCGCAGTACGGGGGTATTCGAGACGTACGGATAGCACCGAAATACCTCTGGAAACCAGACGTTCTTATGTATAACAGGTAATCAATACACGTCTAGCTGCTCTCCATGACAAGAACTGTTTAGTGGAAGTTTTGGAATTATCTCTAAAATCTTTCGTTTTAACAAAGTGCGACTTAATAAACTCCACTTTGATTGTAGCTTTTTATGTATCGACCACAAGATGGAGTAAGACGAAACAGTCTTTCGAATTATAGATCAAAATATTGTAGTTGGAAACATTCATGTATTATCAGCTCAGACTCTTTATTTAAATTATTTTATCCTACTTAGAATAAATAAACTAAAAAATACATTACTTTGTAAAATAAACTAAAAAATACACTACTTTGTAAAATAAACTAAAAAATACATTACTTTGTAAAATAAACTAAAAAAATACATTACTTTGTAAAATAAACTAAAAAATACATTACTTTGTAAAATAAACTAAAAAATACATTACTTTGTAAAATAAACTAAAAAATACATTACTTAGAATAAATAAACTAAAAAATACATTACTTAGAATAAATAAACTAAAAAATAGCATTACTTAGAATAAATAAACTAAAAAATACATTACTTAGAATAAATAAACTAAAAATACATTACTTAGAATAAATAAACTACAAAAT